ACCAGAAACAGTTTTTTTTTCCCAACTGCATCCCACTGGGAGACCTCAAAAATCGAAAATTCTGGGAGTGGTGAGACTGTGCCAAAATAACGTAATTTTCTTTTATATATTTAAAACTTATTAAGATTTATAACATTTTTATTGTGTGGTTAGGATAGTGTGCTAAGGTTATCTGAATAATTATTACTATAACTTTTTGAGTATTGATACTGAGATCATATACTGTATACTAACTATTTGTAGTATTTTTGCGGTGCTAATTATCAGAGATACTTTCTTATTTCCCTACGGCCACGGGAAATTGGAAATAATATCTGAAGCACTATAAGTTGATACTAACCCCTCTAAAATTTGTTTTACATCATTGTGTTATACCGTAGAGATTAGCATAATATATCTTTGATTGTGTGTATGAATATATTCATCACCAGTAATTTTCGTTTTTTTTAATATATATATATATATATATATATATATATATATATATATATAAATATTTGTACATAAATAAATTTATCAAAAAGGCAAATTTTGTGTATATGGTAAAGAAATCACATTGGTGAAAAGAACTCAAGGAATATTATAACGTGGTGTTTGAATTATTAAGGTGTCCAAAGTATTGGTTTATTAAATATTTGCCGTATTTTAATGACTGGAGGCACTGCAAAATATTGTTTAAGGGATTGGACACTGCCCTACGTACTTAGAATAAATTATTACATAAACCACCACACAGTGATGGGGCACTATTCCTCCCACTGACACCAACAGTGTGGAATAATTCCTGCCACTGACACTAATGATGGGGGGCACTATTCCTCCCAGTAGTATCATTAATGGGGCACTATTCCTTCTACTGACATCAATAATGGGGCACTATTCCTCCCACTGACACAAACAATGGGGCACTACTCTTCCACTGATACCAGTGATGGGGCACTATTCCTCCCACTGACACCTAACAGTGGGGTATAATTCCTGCCACTGACACTAATTATGAGGCACGATTCCTCCCACTAGTATCAATGATAGGGTACTATTCCTCCTACTGACACCAACAATGGGACACCGTTCTTCCACTGATATCAATGGTGGGCTCTATTCCTCCCACTAATACCAGTGATGGGGCACTACTACTACTCCTACTGAACACCAACCCTGAGGTCATGTCTATTCTCACGGATGCTGGGCCCGGGACATTTTCTACCCCCACTGGCCACAATCCGGCCCCCCTAAATTCTAGAGGACAGTAAACTGGCCCTTTGTTTGAAAAGTTTGGAGACCCCTGTTAGAGGATCTGCCTACAGTTATGAGATATCTAAAATGCAGGCTCCTTATCTGGACACAACAACATACTGCAGGGATGTTGAATCTATATCTCCCGAGGCCTGGAACATGTAGTTCTGGTCGTCAGGCAGGTAGTTTTTTTTTTTTTCAACCTTTAGCCCTGCTGGGGGCAAGCAGCAGGGCTCACCTGTCAGGTGGAAGCGTTCGAGCGGCAGCGCTACCACTGATTGCTTCCACACAGTGCCAGCCTCTCCCCTCGTGTGAACCTCCCCCCCGCATGAGGTCTCCCGGGCTCCGCTTGCCCATCTGTGGGCCCAGGACCTACTCACCACCATCAGCTAGAGGGGAGGGAGGAGAGCGGACACGTCCCCTCTCTTCTTGTCCTGACCCGGAAGTGACGTTATGATGTTGAGAGATTCCCGGCCATCAAGGCCAGGAAAGAATGTAATGCAGTGCGGTAGTTCACACTATACAGGGCACAGCACCTATGTGAATGAGCAACAAGACCTAATTCACACACAGAGCTTTATTTATTACCTCAATACAGATTTATCTTTTAGATTTAGCAGGAATTTTGCAAGTTATATTGTGTTTGTGTCCGCTAATATTGGTTTTAGCATAAAGAAACATATACAAATAAAGATTTAAAATGACTCTTTAGCCACTTGGAGTATCTTGGCGCATGGTGGAAGCAGTGGATAATAGTTGGGGTCCCCAGGTCAACTTTTGCTTTGGGGCCCACAAGCTTCAAGCTACGCCTCTGCTTAAAGTGGTATTAAACCCAAAACCAAAAATGTACAGCCCTGCCCAAAAGTTTTGAAGAATGACACAAATATTAATTTTCACAAAATCTGCTGCTCCAGTCTTTTTAGATCTTTTTGTCAGATGTTACTATGGCATACTGAAGTATAATTACTATACAAGCATTTCATAGGTGTCAAAGGCTTTTATTGACAATTACATTAAGTTTATGCAAAGAGTCAATATTTGCAGTGTTGACCCTTCTTTAAGACCTCTGCAATTCACTCTGGCATGGTGTCAATCAACTCCTGGGCCACATCCTGACTAATGGCAGCCTATTCTTGCATATTGCTTGGAGTTTGTCAGAATTTGTGGGGGGGGGGGGTTTTGTTCACCCGCCTCTTGAGGATTGACCACATTTCTCAATGGGATTAAATTTGTGGGAGTTTCCTGGCTATGGACCCAAAATTTCAATGTTTTGTTCTCCAAGCCACTTAGTTATCAGCTTTGCCTTATGGCAAATTGCTCCATCATGCTGAATAAGGCACTGTTCATCACCATACTGTTCTTGGATGGTTGGGAGAAGTTCAGAGAAAATGACATTACCCTAGTCCTCAGCAGTCCAATCCCTGTACTTTTGCAGAATATCAGTCTGTCCCTGATGTTTTTCCTGGAGAGAAGTGACTTCTTTGCTGCCCTTCTTGACACCAGGCCATTGTCCAAAAGTCTTCTCTTCACTGTGTGTGTAGATGCACTCAGACCTTCCTGCTGCCATTCTTGAGCAAGCTCTACACTGGTGGTGCTTGGATCCCACAGCTGAATCAACTTTAGGAGACGGTCCTGGCACTTGCTGGATTTCTCAGTCACCCTGAAGCTTTCTTCACAACAGTTGAAACTCTCTCCTTGAAGTTCTTGATGATCCGATAAATGGTTGATTTACATGCAATCTTAGTAGCAGCAATATCGTTGCACTTTTTGTGCAAAGCAATGATGATTGCATGTGTTTCCTTGCAGGTAACCATGGTTAACAGAGGAAGAACAATGATTTCAAGTACCACCCTCCTTCTAAAACTTCCATTCTGTTATTCTAACTCAATCAGCATGACAGAGTGATCTCCAGCCTTGTCCTCATCAACACGGACACCTGTGTTAATGAAAGAATCACTGGCGTGATGTCAGCTGGTCCTTTTGTGGCAGGGCTAAAATGCAGTAGAAATGTTTTTTTGGGATTAAGTTAATTTTCATGACAAAGAGAGACTTTGCAATTAATTGCAATTCATCCTATCACTCTTCATAGCATTCTGGAGTAAATGCAAATTGCCACTATAAAAACTGAGGCAGCAGACTTTGTGAAAACTAATATTTGTGTCATTCTCAAAACTTTTGGCCAGGGCTGTATTATATTGCAGTTTACCAAACATTATTTGTGGTGGATGCACCAGTTTTCTTTTCTTTGGCTTTTTCCCCCTCTGTTTTCACCTGATGATCTGGCCACTAACATGTCTCCTTTATTAGGCTCCATGCACACTAGTGGTTTTTTTAAGCTCCAAAAATGCTGGATAAAAACCGCTGGTAATAGCATGTTTTTGGTAGCGTTTAGGAGTGTTAGCGTTTTTACAGTACATGTAGAAGAAAGCTGTTAGGAGCATTTTAGTAGCGTTTAGGAGCATTTAGCGCTTTTTCAGCTGGAACAACGCTCCAAAAAACTCTACAAAAACATTTTTTTTTTCTCCTTCTAGACGCTGAAGCTCAAAAAAGGCTAATAGCCTAAAGTAGTGTGCATGGTTTAAGGAAGGCCTAAAGATGAAGGGATCCCAAATTGGATAAGGGGTGTTTTCTCAATGGGTTGAACTAGATGGACTTTTTTTTTTCCAAACAGATTTACTATGTAACTGTGTATGAAAGGTTTACCCTAAAGTGAACAGGATTTATAAAGTGCATTTGTGGATGCCCAGAAGACGCCATTCTGGACCATTTCCCTCCCTGTATTTATATCCATCACACTGCAGCCACCCCATTATGTGCGTGCACACACACAGTGTCCGAAATGGTGCCCAATGCTCTCTAGATGGACAGTCACTGCTTCTACCCAAAATGAGAGCAAATGGGGGAGGAGAAACATGGCCTTCCCACAACTACTGTCCAAAGTAGATGTAGGCAGAAGTGGTCCCAAAGAGGCATTGCATACACTTTATTTTTTATGTGACTTTTTATGAAGCCGATCTCAAACTACCTACAAAAATGTGCTCCCACTTGCAAGCAAGGTGACAACGTTGAAGAAAAATATAATCTTAGCAGTGATGGGAAAGGGTGGACCAAATCAATAATAGTATTTGTGATGTGAAATGGCATTATGTTGTTGTACCCAGCTTAGGAGTTTGCATTTTTGATGACTTTTACTGTATAAGACTTTAATTTTTGTAGTTTCTGTATATGAATTTTACATCTAAAAAGTCTCGTTATGATTTGTTTGGTGAGGAGGAATTATCGAAATTTTAATTATAATTATATTTTTATTATATTTTTTCCAAGGTCCACTTGGCGTTGGTACTAATACATCAGTTCGCTGATTTATGAAAACACAATGCCACATGGAAGACTGAAGGTTTCCCATGATGGGCTGTGGGACAAGCAAAGTGCTTCCTGAGCATCCAAAGAACATTCAGCTGGACTTGGTAAAAAAAGTGGAACCCTACCTAATGTCAAAAAATGACCAATATAAGCATTTTATTACAGACTATGGCAGAACAGAGACCAAAGGAGGTTCTCCAACAACACCATATCCTTGTGGCTACCAGAATGGACACACAGAAACTGCTGATCCTCGACGACATAAAGTAGCTAAATACAGAGCAAAGTTTGACCAAAGAGTCACTGCAAAATATGATATTAAAGCTCTTATTGGTAGAGGAAGTTTTAGCCGTGTTGTCAGGGTAGAACATAAGGCCTCCAAACAACCATATGCAATTAAAATGATTGAAACCAAATACAGAGAAGGCAGGGAGGTGTGTGAGTCGGAACTTAATGTGCTGAGACGAGTGCGTCATACAAATATTATCCAGCTAATTGAGGTCTTTGAAACACAGGAGAGGGTATATATGGTAATGGAATTGGCTACAGGGGGAGAACTTTTTGACCGCATAATAGCCAAGGGCTCCTTCACAGAACGTGATGCCACTCATGTGCTACAAATGGTTTTGGAAGGGGTTAAGTATTTGCATACTCTTGGGATCACACATAGAGACTTAAAACCTGAAAACCTCCTATATTATCATCCAGGAACAGATTCTAAAATTATGATTACAGACTTTGGTCTTGCAAGTGCACGAAAAAAAAGGAGATGACTGTTTAATGAAGACAACCTGTGGAACACCAGAATATATTGCACCTGAAATTCTGGTAAGGAAACCTTATACCAATTCTGTGGACATGTGGGCACTTGGAGTTATATCTTATATTCTACTCAGTGGAACTATGCCTTTTGAAGATGATAACCGAACGCGTTTGTACCGACAAATTTTAAAGGGAAAATACAGCTACTCTGGAGAGGTAAGTGTTTCACAAGCATTGCGAGGCTCTAGTTACAAATGTCTTTTTTTTCTCCCCATCATTTTACAGCACTTTGGAGATCCACTTACTACTGGAAACAGCTTCAAGAACACTTTAAAGGAAACATTTAATGTGAGAAGTACAGTCTGCCATTGCTGACCTTTCTAAGAATACCTATTGCTTGGCTGACTTAGGCTTCAGTGCTTTATGATCTACTGACTAGGAACAAACATTTAAATTAGCAAGTCTGTGTGAAGTCAGAGCTTCTGGAATGCATATTTGTCAATGCCTTACAAAGTGAAGCAGCCAACTAGCAATTGCAGTACCTCATCAGTACTACCTCTACCTCAGTCTCTTATTTTCTACATACCACCATATTTCTTGTCTATTTTTTTATTTTCTGTTTTTCTCTTTGTAACTAAATAGAATTGCCTTCAGCGGTGAATAGTGTATTTCACTAATCTCTATCTTTTTTGATATGGATCAAGCTGTAGCTCTCACTTAGTCAAGCTTTGAGGAAATAGAGACCTCTTTCAGTAAAAACTTCTGAAATCAGTGGCAGAAGGCACCTGTATTTACCACAATTTCATCAAATGCCTAGTAATGAGTACAGGAACAGAAGCTGACTTTCTTCCCTAAAAAAGGGATAAATATTTTAACAGTAGTTTAATGTCGCAGGGGAGACTTACTTAAAAGCCATCTAAACATAACACAAGATTGGTACTGGATGGCTTATGGACAGCTCCAGACTGCATAGAAGGATGAACGTTTGTGTGCTTTTTGATCTCTTGGGAGTGTGGTGTCTGCTGACATCTTGGGGATCCACTCCTTTTCCTGGGGTTCATTTTATTCTTTGTTTTTACCACATAGGTAAGTAGTAATTGACCGGCACAGTGGCTTAGTGGTTAGCACGTCTGCCGTACAATAAATGGGTAATGGGTTAGATTCCCGACCATGGCTCCTCCTGCATGGAGTTTGCATGTTCTCCCTGTGCTTGCGTGGGTTTCCTCCGGGTGCTCCGGTTTCCTCCCACACTCCAAAGACATGCTGGTAGGTTAATTGGCTCCTGTCAAAATTGTCCTAGTTTCATCCCTGGCCATGCGGGATCTCCTGCATGCTAGGGGTTGGGGAAAGACCTGGCAACCTACCCTGTAAAAATAATTGCTAAGAGAATTCATGGAAAAAGTCGCTTACGAATGACGGTCCATGCAATTGCCAAGGGTCGGATACGACTGAATGGATGGATAGATAGATAGCTAGAAGTAGTAATTAACTGCAGTTTGCTGTCTGTTTCACAAGAATGTGACCTTTCTGGTTGCACTTAGTTGTTTTCAAGGCTAGTATATTCAGAATTCTGTATACACTGCCTTTGTTCAAAATTACAGTATGCTTTGTTCTCTTCCACTTCTAACTGTCAATATGTCTGAAGAAGGAATTAGTGTTTTGAAAGCCTGTACTTTTATATTTTTTAGTTAGTAATCAAGGGTGCATGCACATGTTCTGGGTCTTCTAATGAACATTCTGGGTGTCCTGTGCAGTATTTATTGCCCTCATTCCAAGAATGACACATTCTTTCTTGTACAGTAAAGGACACCGTCATAGACTTAAAACACAGGTTTATAAACTGCTACCTTCAGGTTATTGGACACTGACAAACAGAGCTGTAAGGACCCCAATATAACCCCTCCTGTTTCCAGCAGTCCTTAGTTTTTTGTTAGTGTCAGGTAATGGATGTCTCCTCCTATACTGAGAGAGATTGTTTGTTTCTTATTGCTAGTTGTTTTTCCTGAATTAATTCCTTCTTCGAGTACTTTGCTGTTTTCCATCCGCAACCGCTAATGGCACAAGTTCTGTATCTGTACCTTAGGCATACCACTGGGGCTTTACCCGAACTGTGGTGGATGAAGCTGTTTGGCCAGCCCATAGTGTTGCACTAAGCACTGGGCCACAGGCTTTTTTAACCACATGCCGCCCAGCCACTGTAGAAATAAGTTGGCAGGGCGACACGGCTGGGCAAAACCACGTTTTAAAACATGTGTTTTCAAAGCAGGTAGGGGGCGCGCGCGCGCGAGGCCGCCCTACTTGTCCCGCCGATCACGGCCGCGGAGGTCAGTCGCCGGGTCACAGCCGGTTGTTACCGGCTATGTCCCGGCGATTAGCGGTAATCACTGACAGAGAGCACAGCTGCAGTAGCTGTGCTTTCTGTCAGTTCCCTGACAGCTCCTGACACGCTGATTGGGACAGAAGAGTTTATCTGTCCTGATCAGTATGTCTATGTGCAGTACACACCCCCTAGTAAAACACTCCCCTCACACAGTTAACCCTTTCAGTGAATAATAAAGTTAACCCCTTCCTCCCCAGTGCCATTAGTACAGTATCAGTGTTTTTTTTTTTTTTTTTTTTGCACTGATCACTGTATTGGTGTCACTGGGGATGTCAGTGACCCCAAGTCAGTTCCCCCCCAGTGTCAGAATGTCCGCCGTAGTCCCGCAGTCCCGCCATAAGTCGCTGATCGCCACCATAAGACGCTGATCGCCGCCATTATTAGTATAAAAAAAAATTAAAAATCCCAGTATCTTTCCCGCCATTTGTAAACACTATAACTTTCACGTAAACCAATTAATTTACACGTATTGGGGTTTTTTTTTTTTTAGCAAAGACATGTCGCAGAATACATTTTGGCAGAAATTTATGACTAAATTTGATTTTTAAATTTTTTTTTACTGGACATGTTTTATAGCAAAAAGTCCAAAATATAGTTTTTTTTCCTCAAAATAGTCAGCATTTTTTTTATAGCGCAAAAAATAAAAAACGCACAGGCGATAAAAAATACCACCGAAAGAAAGCTCAATTTGTGGGAAAAAAAGGAGGTAAATTTCATTTATGTACCGTATTGCATGACCGCGCAATTGTCCGTTAAACTAGCGCAGCGCTGTATAGCAAAAAAATGGCGTAAATTGCAGTATCTATACAATAGTTTGTAGATGCTATAACTGGGATTTTTTTTACCAAAAACATGTAGCAGAATACATTTTGGCCTAAATTTATAACTAACTTTGAGTTTACTATATATTTTTTATAGCTGAAAGTAAAAAAAAATATCGTTTTTCTTCAAAATTGTTTATCTTTTTTTTGTTTATAGCGTGAAAAATAAGTGCACAGGTGATCAAATACCACCAAAAGGAAGCTCTATTTGTGTGAAAAAAAGGGCGTAAATTTCGTTTGGGTGCAGCATTGCATGACCGTGCAATTATCAGTTGAATTAGTGCAGCGCCAAGTAGCAAAAAGAGGCCTGGTCATTAAGGGGGGTAAATGCTCAGGAGGGTAAGTGGTGGTTAAAGGTCCAGGGGAGTAGCTATTGGCATCAGTGTGACCAAGTCCCTGAAGACTCCCTTGGGGGTATGCCTATCATGAGGGAAAAGTCAGGATGGGGCTTGCTCCTAAAATCCTGGTACTTGTTGATGTCTGATCTGCCGCTGTAAATCTGCGCTTTTAGCTAATTCCTGGAGGCGATGTGCTGTGCTTTAACCCCCAATTGCTGGAGTTCTGGTTTGGAAGCGATTTCTGTTTGATGTTGGCACCATAATTTAAGGTGATTTCCCTGCAGTTTCCTGGCAGCTGCTACTACTACTGTGGTGGTGTGTTTTTCTCAACCTTTTTCCAGTTAAGGCATCCTTTGAAATTATGCAATATCTTAAGGCACCCTATTCTAAAATGTACAAAGCTAATAGTTTTACATATTGCAGCAGTGTCCACAAATGTAAGACACCCAACATTAGAGGTGATTTATTCCTACAAAGCAAATACACTTTTGCACACTAACTAGTATTCCTTCTTCCTTATGTTTTCTCCCCCAAGCAGCTAACATGACTCCAGTACTGACAGAGTGAGGGGTCAAAGAAGGATGCTGTGCAGGTGCTTGACATCTTCCTTATCAACCGATGATGTCAGCAGTTGTTAGGATGCTGCCAGCTGGATGCACAGTGCCCAGGGTTGTTTTTTTGCACAATGAAAATCTGTGGTTTTTTGTAACTAAAAACAGGCTTGGTTTACTTGCAGTCTTGTACACAATTTGGGGTAATATTAAAGTATTTTGTCAAGGCATCAATGAAGAACCCAGAAGCACTCCAGGGTGCCACAAAGCGGCTGTGTTAGTCTTCTGAGCTATTAATACAGATGCATGCCTTTTTTTTTTTCTCTCACTATGGCGCAAAATGAGTTACCTTTCTCTACCTTTTTTCTCAGTTGGCTGCTAAGATTGGGGGGACCTGCTGCAAGGCATGGTCTTCATTGTCCACAGCTCCCTGGGTCTCCTTTGCCACCGTCTCCACTAACTCATGAGTACCACTCTGGGAATACTGTAGCCCTGCACATGGTTTGACATGGGGCAGGGAGCTCACCAGCTCATTTTTAGCTAATGGAGAGAAGGATTGTTAATTTCTCCCTCGAGGGCCCTGTTCTTCTCAATCCTGACCTCGTTTGTTGTGGTTACACAGGACCATTGACCCCTACTATCCTGCAGTGGGACTGTGAGTAACTTCAGTAGGTAAAGTCTCATTAGTATACTATCTTTACAGTAGCCTATGGTGCCTTGAAAGGACATTTCCCCTCCTTGTTACACAATGAGTATGTGAGTAACCTTATTGTAATTTCCCACGTGCACACTGTCTGCACATTGGCCAGTGGTGTCTTAAAGCAAAACTCTGGGCAAAAACTTCTTTACACGTCCTCGTTGCTGATTTCCTACCTCCACTGAGTATGTCATCCATTTTTTGGTTCACTTAGTTGCTCTGGA